GATGCAAGTCATGTTCAGTCCTCCCGATTTTTACTCAATTATAAATTCTTTTATTGAATAAGCTGATTTTGTTTCTTCAGTCCTCCCAATTTTTACTCAATTATAAATTCTTTTATTGAATAAACTGATTTTGTTTCTCGTATAACTATTCAGCAAAACTGATATTAATATTCTAAATTTTATTTCTTTAGATTAGAGCAAATCAAGTTACCCATGTATTCAAGACATTATTTTAATCATTCAACCTTTAAGCATTTTGCAATTTGCATATGCACTTTTGTGAAATATATATATATACTTTTGTTCCACCTCAAAAAATATATATATATAAAAAAAAAAAAAACCTTTATGTTCTAATCTATTATATTTTTATTTTTATTTGTATATATATATATATATATATATATATATATATTATTATTTTTTTAAATAATAGCACCCTCGTGCATTCACTGGCAAAATAAAGGGACAAGAGTTTATTTATATATATATATATATATATATATATATATATATATATATATATATATATATATATATATATATATATATATATATATAAAGTCAGAGAATTTGTGTGCACAGAAGTAAAGGGACAAGAGTTTATTTTGTTTTTCCATTCAAGAGCAACAACCATGGTGGTGTCCTGTGATGGAGGACTCCCTTATTCAGTTAATTATGAAAATTATGCCCAATTTCTTTTGTCTCCATTGCTCTTACTATAGAGTAATATCCAAACAGCTAAAAACTACACATATTTTGGTCATGGCCACGAGAGGTATGTCTATTGTCTATATCCACAATCTCGCGTGTTAAACTTAATATACCTATAGTTGCACGATTTGCACTATGTACCACGTATTAACTTTGACCCCCTGTTTACTAACATTTTTTTTTTGAAGGATACTAATACATATATGTAAATAATCTATTAACTAATACTAAAACAAAACATGTTGACATCATCTTTTTCTAAAATAATACACGTCACTTTCTCATAAAAAATTTTCCCATCTAAATGCTTTAATGACATCATCTTTATTTTTTATTTTTGTAAAGTTGAACTAACTACTCTATTTTTATTGATTTGAAAATTGTTATATTTAATTTGACTAAAAAATCAAATAGATGCTTCTATTGACAGCTATACAAACGATTAATTGTTGGAAGCTAAAATAATAATTTTGATGACATTTGTGCTAATTGTATACTGTATATTTTTTCTTCAGATTTCATTAATATGCATTCTTAAATAATTTTCTTTTGACTATTTCAATTATTAATTGTATATAATATGGTTCATATATATCCTTAAATGTAAATTATTTTTATATCTAATTTTAATCTTTATATACAATGTAATGCAACATAAACATAAATTACAAGAAAGATTAATTCTAACCATGCATTGCACGGGGATAACCTAGTGATGATATTAAATGAAAACTTGTTGGATTATTCTCAATGTTTATTTGTAATAGTAATGTGTGTATGTTTTATACAAGAAGCTTATTGCAAATGTTGTAAATTATAAAAATAGTTTAACCACGGATTCAAATTAGAACATGTCGTTCAACATCAATTATATATACGTACTCCATAGTAATTGCATGTGTTTCCGGTCCGGTGTTATATGTTATGGAGTAGAATCTATACCTGGCTTAGCTTATTGAATCGTGACACGTGCAAACAATGTTAATGATATCATTTAAAAAAAAAAAGTATTGAAAGAATATAACTATAGCGACACGAAATTTGTTGTTTGAGTTAAAATATAAAAACAGTTTTTGAGGTTTAATTTTCTGTGTATTGATTCACAAACGAAGGGAATACAGGTTTAAATATACACAAACTTGTCTAAACAAGTCCCTGTAATCTCTCCAAGAATAATGGGAGATTTGATACTAATTGATACTAACCTAAAACATTTCAGTATCCTAAAAAATCCCATAGAATATTTTCTAACACTCCCCCTCAAGTTGGGTAGTAGGATCTCCAACACCCAACTTGGACAAAGCTTCTTCAAATGTCTGAGCCGTGACAGCCTTGGTCAAGATGTCTGCCAATTGATCTTCTGATCTCACAAATGGTAGGCTTATCACTTTTGCTTCTAAGTTGTCCTTGATGAAATGTCTGTCAATTTGGCTAATAGTATTCCATCTAAATTTTAGGCAACCATATTGTTAGTGTAGTCGTGTAGAGTTGCACTCCATGATTAATTCAACTAACTTGCTATATCCCCGCATAAGAGGAAATTCATAGATGAGCTATCGTAAATGGGAGAAGAATAGAGGAAAAGATAACTAGCATAGCTAGTAAAGTTTAGTAGACTATTAAGCCTATAGTCATTTATTTTGATAAAATTAAACCACGCACATATAAACACGTATTCTATATATGGTAATAAATTGGTAAAACTCTTCTCCAACACATTGACACGTGTGTTGTAGGCTCATTTCCGATTTAACACATTTTTTCCTCCTATAGTAAAAGATTCCTACATGAAATTTGGCATAAGATTTGAAGGGAAGGTAATCAAATTTCACCTAACATTTTTGAAGTTGAAGGACAACAATATTTATTGTATAGGAGAGTACAAGACGAAAATTATAGTGATCATGCATTTAGTTCAAGGACCACAAAGCAAAATTTCAAGCCAAAAATGGAAACTAAAATAAAATGGTCCAGCTTTAATTCCTATAAAATGGAAAATTCTAAGTAAATGATTGCTTAACTTGCTTCTTTTTTTACATACATGGACCATTTAGCAACCTATCTGGCTCTTGTGCTATATTAAAGTATCTAATATTAATGCAAATCTGCAAATATGCTTGAATGCTACTCCAGTTATTTGTATTAATGCATAATTAAGAGTATCCCTTCTCAATGACTAAAATGAGACATAAAAACAAACCTATTGAAGATTCATAATAATATTGATGAGTTGGCCGGTCTTTTTATATACGTGTGTATTTTTAGACCGAACATTGGTCTGTAATTTAATATATCGAAATTATCCTATCATAAAATTATTAGGAATTATCCTATCATAATTTCTTAGAAAATGTGTTGATTGATGAAACGCATGAAGATTGCTTTTAGGGTTTTATGAGCACCAAAATGTTATTAAGTATTTGCTACACTTGTTGTATTAATCATAATGGTGAATGAATTACATGATATAATTGCATTTAATAACATTGTATACAAGTATTATTATGCAATTACATGATATAATTGCATAATAATACTATTTTCGCATGTATACAAGTAGATAGTGATGAGTGAATAATAATGAATAGATGGGGAATAAGTTGAGTTGGGTAGATGGGTAATTTGCAGAAGCACTACTATACATCGATAAGTTGACACACTTCATATTGTATAGACTCTTTCAAAATCCAGAAACATGTCTGAATTTCCGAGACATTCCAAAATAAAAAGACAGTGTCACTGAAACTCTGATTTTTATTTATATATATATTGGCTCATCATTAATTACCACTACTTCCCTTGCAAAAAGGTTGTTGTGCTTCTTCTTTCATTTACTGTTCCTTTCATTACCCCAACCTTCATGGTGTTGCTACCAAAAAATATCCTCATATAATGACAAATACTTGCACCAATTTTATTTCTAGGAATTTTATTTTTATCCTACTTTTAATTTAATTTTATGATTATTTTTTGGAAATTTTGTATAAAACCACCTTTTTAAAACTTGTTTTTTTGTAAAAAACCACCTTTTAAAAAAAATGTTGTGAAAGACCACCTTGTTTAAAAATTTTGTTGCAAAATAACACCACTTGCCGGAAAGTTGCCGTTGACCATTAAATTCCGGCGTTGACCCAGTCACGTGTTCCTCACCCAGTCACCCAGAGCCTTGTTCCTCCTCACACCAAACAGAAACTCAAAAAGTCCCTACTTCATTCTCTACCAAAAAACAAGCCAACCCAAAACCGGTGACTGGGTCAACGCCGAAATTTAATGGTCAACGGCAACTTTCCGGCAAGTGGTGTTATTTTGCAACAAAATTTTTAAACAAGGTGGTCTTTCACAACATTTTTTTTAAAAGGTGGATTTTTACAAAAACAAGTTTTAAAAAGGTGATTTTATACAAAATTTCCTTATTTTTTTAAAATTAGTAAGGATAAAGACTTTACTTAACCCGTACCTCTTACAGGTTAATGCTGTTCAACTTTATCATTCTTCATATTATTGTATGAGAATGTATACATTCATCATGATACAAACATATTTAATAAATTGATGGAGTGTACTGTCCCCAGCTATCATTTTGAATTTTGATGTATATAGGATGAAGCACAAGTGTTTCATGCATGCATAAAACTACTTAGATACGAAGTATGGAGAAATAGACAATATTGATTTAATTATGCTCTGAAATTAATTAATGATAATGAGTTTATAAACATATATGTAAGTCATAGTGAAATCTCCCCATTAATCAATATTACACATGTTCACATGTATATTACATATATTAAGAATGAATACAACTACTAAAACACTTATAAATTAAAAAAATGACATAACCATAGTTCCATATACAATACTATTTATTTTCAGGAACCAGAAGAGGCTGTCATATCTTCTTGTATAAGGATTTTTTTTTATTTTTTTATTTTTTTTATTTTTTTTATATACTCTTATATTCTTAATTATAAGCATGCAAACAAAAAAAAAGTACATACACGACGAGTTAAACTACGTATATGTTATATGTATCTTTATATGGAAGATCGAAAAACAATAAATTAAAGAACATATTTATAAACGTTATACTCTTAAATGTCTTAATCTTAATACATATTATAGGGATCCTTATATTATGATCTGAGATAATTCTTGATAATTAAACATAAGTTTTATACAATTAATTGACACGTGTCATTTCTATAAATCTGATAATGTTCCTCTTGACAATTACACAAGAATGTAGGTATAGTATAATCAAATTAAACGAATAAAGTAATTAAATAAATATATGCTACAAATGTACATGTAATAAGGTAATATTGCAAATCATGTTTAATATCGTAATTACAATCCTTACTAAAATTAATGGAGAGATAGTAAAAAAGGGGGGAAAAAAAGAGGAAATTAGAAAACAAAAACTGTCTTCATTCTTTCCTCTTTACACTTAACTCTAAAAGCCCATCTCTCCCGACTATTATGTAATGCAAGTAAAACTAAGAAAATATCTTTACTTAACCGATGTAAATTTGGCTGGGCTAACAAAAAAAAAAAGAAGAAAATTAAAATTAAATTATAAATTAAAATTTCTACTAAGTATATGAAAGAAAGTCCAATTTTATTATTATGATTTATTTAATTTTTTATATAGGTTTTTTTCATCACCGATTAAATAGCACTTAATGATTACGTCACTGAGATAGATATCAACGGCTCAGATTCACCTGCAGTTGGATAATTTTCCTCCATCCGATCAGCTTCATTATCAATCATGACCAAAGATGAATCAACGGTTGATGTTAATTCTAAAGAAGGGCCAGGCCCACCACTTTGAGTCAGCAACTGGGCCCGTTGTGCTTGATAATCCCAATCAGTGGTCCCAACAACATACAATAACAGCCCAGCACAGCATATCTGGGCCGACAAAAGCCCAATCCAGAGCCCACAAAAGCCAACTCCTAGATAGAAAGCCAACCCAACCGCTACTGGTGTCCCCACCATATAGAAGGCCCCTAAGTTCACATTTGCAGCTGTTGCTGGCCGGGCAGTCCCCCTTACCACCCCACATGCTATCGTTTGTGGGCAGTTTCCGAGCTCGCAAAGGCCCAATATTGGTAACGCCGCTGCGGTCAGGGCTAGGATCTCGGCGTCTCCGGTAAACATCCTAGCCCATACATTCCTTGCCCCAGAAGCAAACATCATAGCTATAAGGCCCATTATTGCAGCCCAAGAGATTCCGATAAAGCCCGAGAGCTTCGCCTGTTTGGGCCGGCCCGCTCCAAGTTCGTTCCCGACACGGGTGGATACGGCGTTGCTGACCGAGGCGGGGAAGTTATAGATCAGCCCGGTGGTCTGGATCAGCACCCCCATCGAGGCCACTGAGGCCTTGGGGTTCGGCAGCAGGCCACAGAGCACGATCATGATCTCGTACCACCACCACTCCAGACACACGGAGGCACAGCTGGGGCCCGCCAGGCACACCAGGGGCCACCAGTCCCTGAAACACTCGCGGCTGGGCGGGCTCCACGTAGGAGCGTGAAGCCCGCCGAGCCAAACCTGCATCACTAGGGCCCCTAGTGAAACGAGGTTGGACACGGAGTTGGCAACAGCAACTCCGGCAATCCCGAGGTTGAGGTGAACAACAAGAAAAAACATGATGGGAAAGTGAAGGATGGCCCCGACTAGGGATGCATAGGTGACAGGGTGAGTAATACCTTGCGCACGAAGGTAAATCTTGATTGGATGGTGAAAGGAATAAGTAAAAAGGTCAGGGAGACAAAATGTGATATAAACGTGAGCCAATTTACCAATATTTGGGTCTTGGTGAAGATACCCCAAAATGCTCGACATATTTAACCAAAATATCGAAATTGGCAAACTGCAAACCAGCAAGAATATCACGCACCGTTGAAGCGTAAGCGAAAGGAGCTTCGGCCTACAAGCACCAAATGCTTGTGAACACAAAGGCTCCATCCCCAAAGCCAACCCCGAAAACACCGAATAACCGGTTATATTCGCAAAGGCAATGGCTAGAGAGCCGGCCGCTAACTCGGCATCTCCGATTCGGCCTAAGAACACCATTGATAGCATGGACCGGGAGTAAAGGATGAGGTTGGTTAAGAGTATGGGGAATGCCAAGTAAAAGAGTGAACTACTCTCTTTTAAGACGTCGGATACGCTAGGGAAAAACAATGATGGGTCGCTGTGATGAGTGTTGGAAACGGGTACAGACACAGATACGGATACTCTATCCTCAACAACACCAATGCTGGTGAACCTTTCATCGTCGTCGTTTTTATTGGTTAACGATAAGAGATCCAAGTATATGTTGGAGTGTTGAGACTGATGATGATGAGGAGGATGATTATGTTGTGGTGGTATTTTCGAAAGAGTAACAATTTGGTTATTTTCAGGTGGATTACACATTGTTTTTTGATGGAAAAAACAGAGAGATACTGCCTTAGACAGCACTCTGAAGGAGAATTTGTGTTTGTCAAAACTAAGATTTCAAGTTGTGAGGGTGACACCATGATGTTGATTGAGTATTAATAGAGCGAAAAAAGAAAGCTGGGTAGATTTTTTTTTAAATAGTATTAATTACTTCTTAAATTAATTTTTGTAAATTCCTTTTTTTAATGGATTTTGTTCCTTTTTTTTTTTTTTGAAGAGGAAGCTAAGTGCTACTTTATATTATTATGATGAAGAAATAGGGGTAGAACTTTTAAATATTTTGTATGAGGTTAATAAGGTTTATTTTTTTGATTAAGTAAATAAAATAATGTTTATAAAATAGATGGGTGATTAGTTAGACCAATTTCCTAGAGACTCAGATTGTGCTCTCTGTTCTGCCTTGCTCTGTGGTTTCTGCATTTCTTCAGTTACCCATAAATAATTTTTCATCAAAAACAAAATTATTACGGATCAATCATTTACATTCACTTAATACTTGTAATATTCGTCAAAAAAAAAAATACTTAGAGCATCTTTATTGGTGAACCCAAATAAATGGTTCATGGGTCACTATCACCATTTCTCTCTCATCCACATCAACCCAACAAACCATTTACAATATTCACTCTTAACAATGAACATTAAACAATGGTTCATCATCAATACTCCCTACCCCACCTTATTTTATTTTTGTAAATATAATCTTTTTTGTTTCATAATTATAATTTATTAACCCGATGTCAATGTAATTAATTGACGTATTTAATATTTTAATCGTGATTACTAATTAAGAAATTATCGCATTTTTTTATCAGTTTTTAAAAAAACTAATTCTTGTGATTAATATTTTTTAAACAACAACGCAGCTAATTTTAATTAACAAAAAAAAAAGAGGTACAAATCGTGATTACAGTTCTACAACTATAATCTAGTACATTTTATTTAAAAAAAAAAAACAACTACACATCGTTTTGTAAGATGTCCTTAGGGATAACCATTTGTTGTAAACCTAGTTGCCTAAGTTTTCGTTGTTACCAAATTTATTCCATATATGTTCGACCAAGTCGTTTTTTAGCTGCAAATGAGTCTGTTGATCCTCAATCTCTGTTCTACGGGACAAGTATAAGCCGATATCCACAATACGATCAGTACGGTACTCGGTAGTGTCCTCATTAGCGTTGCCTCCAGCATTCATAAACTCATTGGTATTAACGTTATTTTGATACGTCTCTCGTTCATCTTCAACGATCATATTATGTATTATGATGCAGGCGAGCATGATATTGTGGAGTATGTCGGTATCCCACGCCAAAGACGGCTTTTTAATAATGGCAAAACGAGCTTGAAGGATCATATTTTGACCCAAATTTTTTTTCTTCTTTCTATTTGTTTTGGGGTTGGTATTAGCATCCATAATTATAATTTATATTTGGAAAAAATAAAAATTTAATAATAATAATAATAACGACAACAATAATAAAAATAATAATAATAACGATAATAATAATAAAGGAAATAATAATAATAACGATAATAATAATAAAAATGATAATAATAATAATAATAATAATAATAATATTAATAATAATAATATTGGTAATTATAGAGGGGATTTTTGAAGAGAAAAATATAGTAGAAAGAAATGGATTTTCAAAGTTGAAGAAAGTATAGCAATATGAGTGTCTATTTATAGAGGGGAAAAAAATAGAGTTGTTGGTAATTTTTTTTTTTTTTTATTTGTGTTTTGTAAAATATATCCGTTGCAAAATTACAACGGATTTATTTAAAACAGTGCCACGTGTCAAGCAGCGGCTGGGCCAAATGGCGCGCTCCCAGCCGCTGCTTTCTATTTTTTTCCTGAAAAAAAAAATAAAAATGGGTGGGGCCCACAATCCATAAATTCGTCCAAATGCTTGCAGCAGCAATCGATCCCACAACCATTCACTATGAACAATTATAGAGATCACCATTAAGCCACCCATTCACTTGTTCACTCATTGTGAACTATTTTTTTGTTCACCCTTAAGGCTGCCCTTAGCTTGTAATAAATGTATATTATGTATGACAATTGGGAAATGTAATTAAAATTGAGTTTGATTATGAGATACTCTATATTAAGCTTGATAATGATTGTCAAAAAAAAAGTATAAAGCTTGATTACGTCTAATTAATTATGGAATTTCCTTGTCACTTTTTAATATTTATGTTTTGCCCATTTTTTTCTCACAAAAAGATTCCAAATGTAAAGAATGAAGGACGTTTGATACAAATATTGACAAAGGAATGAAAAGGAAACAAATTAAATAAGGGTAATTATTGTTACCTTAAGTTTTAAAGTTTAAACAGGTAATAACAAATAGTAGTAATCATTACTCATCGATAATGGTAATTGTTATCCAAATATTCAAATAACGACCAAACACTTGGTAACAATAATGTTTTAATTGAATTAATTTCCAACCCAAAAAACATCTTTACCGAACACGCTAATAAAAGTGATGTATGGAGTAAGTAACTTTTTATACATTATGAACATAATCCATTGAGATTTCAATAGTGTTTACAATGGTTTTACAAGAGTGTAAAGATATCTTAGGCATTGTGAACATAATCCATTTAGATTTCAATACTGTTTACAATATATGGTTTTACAAGAGTGTAAAGATATCTCACATTTATGGCGTATCTCCTATGATTCTAATATATAAAGTGATAATTAAAAACACTCGTGAAAAATCATATATACTCCGTTTAAATCACTAAAAGGCCATTTTAAATTGTGAATGATCAACTAAACTACTTGGTTATAATTTTGAGGGTGATACACAAAACGTGAAATCAATTCTTGTCTACATCATTTGTCTTTATAGCTTTAAAAAGATTTTTTTTTTTTAAAATGACAATAAATAAAGGTAATGACAATGAATTTGTATACTCCCCCGTTACTTTAATATTGCAACATGGATAAGATCTTAATTAGTGAGAAAAAGGAAGAGCGAGAAAGGAAAAACTTACTCATTTACTATTTTAATTGTGAAAAAAAAAAAACAAAAAATTTGTTTCTACAAATGAGTGTGTTACAAATATTTGTAAAACTTCATCGTAAAGAATTAAAAGTTGTAATATTAAAGGAGCAAAGTTATAATTATCCAAACGTTCATGAACAACTCCAATAACATGCACTTCGTATATACCTATATAGATTATAGACTATAAACACAAAATCAAAAGTACTCATACTATTCTTACTAAAATCTCAGCTCCCATTTTTCAAAAAGAAAGATTTGAGTAATGACGATCATTAATAGTTATTTTTACTCTTTTTGTTTTTTTCTTTTAAATGTCATCTCTGATCCTTTTTTTTACCATGCAATAAGTCATAAAACTAGTAATAAACTATTTTTGATATCTTTTTATACTATTTTAAAGATAAAGATCTCTATAACTTGTATTATTGTACCAATAATATACAATTGTATACATGTACATGAGAAATGTCTCAATTATATTGTTTTCTTAGCATTATGTTAAGATAGGATTTACTTTCTCATACCAATTGTTTGTTGGTGCTATGGTGATTAGGACTGCACTTGGTAGGGAGGATCACGTGTTCGATCCCCCACAAAAATAATTGAGAGGGAAGTGTGTGGAACCTAACTACCCAGAACTGATTCCCGAATTCGAATTAGTTCAAAGGGTGAATCGGGTGGAACACCCAAAAAAAAAAAAAATTTACCTTCTCATGTATGACATAAAACCATTTTTATTACCACATTTCATTCAATTCACCATTTTTGGATATATAAATTAGGAAACTAATACTTCGTATGTAGATAATACGAAGTATTAGACGATTAATCAAGAAAATTTGTCCAACTAGCCATACTAGCTAGCTGCATTATATACCACACTTCAACTACAATATGAAGTATAAATTATACTATGTACTTATAACTATACACTCGTACTTGTAACAGTTTAAAAATGGAGAAAATAATGCTACATTATTTCAATTCAATATACTAATTAGGAATATTGTCCTTCACTAATGGTATAGAAACTTGAGAGTTTAAAACCATATATGTACATCTTTGTGCTTCTTCTAATCATTATAAATTAAAACAATGTAACATAAAATCTCTATATAACCAATTAAAATAAAATTTAAGGCAATCGAATCTGATTAGGCTGTCAAATTAGTTGGTTATGTTGTTAGTTAACCTTAATACAATCTATCAAGCTCACGAAATCGATCTGTTGTTTATGATCTGTACTGCCTGTTCATGTGGTCCTAAACCAACATTATAGTAGTGTTTTTTTTTTTTTAATCTATCGACTATTACTAAAACAAAACGTTGCCGACGTCATCACTGTCCACGTGTCACTCTCATAATAATTTTTTTTCCGCCTAAATACAAGGATGATGTACTTTTATTTTTTTTTTTTTTATTTTTTTTTTTTGTGGAGCTACCATAATTAACAATTTTGAAATTTGAATATTAGAAGTTTCTACATTACAACTAAAACCTATCAATTTATCCAAAAAAAATAAAACAATTGTAAATAGCACACTAATAAAGGACTCCTGCATTGAAATATGTATTAGACGACATTGAACAAGTATAATATCATAATTTTGATGAAAATCTAAAATTTTAAAATTACAAATATTTTTGTACAAGGTGCATTTATATTTATCCCTTTTTTTAAAAAAAATGTACAAATTATAAAAATAGATTTTATATAAACTGTGCATCGCACGGATTCTAATCTAGTTAATATCTTTAAAAAATAAAAATAAAATAAAATTGTACCATGTATTAGAAGTACAGTACTTGGAATATTATTGAATTAAGGTTTTTTTGCGTGCCACACGTGATGCTTCTAATAGGGCTTGCCCTTTCCTAGTTCCTACCATATCATATTCATCTACTAGCCTCTTATTTTTCTTTAATTTCATCTTAGTTCGTATTTTTGCTTCTTAAATTTTTATTTACTTCATATTTATTTAAAGTTCGTATGAAGAGGTCTATCTATTTTCTAATTGTGTTTAAAAAAATATATATATATATATTTCCGCCCTCCTTTCACAAATTACCACTGTCAAAATAGTTACTTAATGTTTCGTTTAATGAAATATGATAGCAAATCTGTAGTTATCTTTGGTGCTATTTCGC